GTCCAAATCGTACACAATATACTAACTAAAAAGTATTAATGCTTCTTACTTAATGTTAATACTAAATTACTAAGAAGTAATGAATTTATTATTTGTTTTGCCTGAGGTTATATTTAAATGTACCTAAAACTGAGGAAATATTGCAATTTTGAGACCAAAAGTTCTCGATGTGCGTTCCAGCGCAAAAGGTTAAAAGTATAAACGAGCCGTTTATTTTGAAAATGGTACCAAGTCCATTTTTATCTTTCAGTCGAGATATTTAACGGTACGCGTTTCGATAAATTTAAAAATATTGGTAACTGATAACACGGTAGTACAATGGTGTTTCCAAATATAATTTACCAACCCGATAGATATGATAAACGTTATTTAGAAAATAACACGTTTTTTGATGGCTGTAAATGGACTTGAAGCACTTTCAAAATTAATGAAATAACTTTCTTAATTTTTAGAAAGTTCCTTGAAAAAAAAATATATTACAATTTCGCGTTATAAAATTAAAAGGTATTCCAACTTTGATTCACTATTGAAGAAATGTTACATTCAAATAATATTTCGTAGTTTATAATTTTCCTCAATTTCCGTATGCGGGAGGGATTTAAAATAATTATGGTGTAACAAGTCCATTATATCGTTGTATTTCAATGTATAATATTATTATAGTTTTTTGGTCTCATCCAACGCGTTAGTAAATCCAGAATTTTGAACAGTGCATCCTCATTCATTGATGTTTTGTAGAACGTCTTATATGGTTCTGTTCTCAAAAATCGCGTGCAACAGATTTTTAACAAATTTACTCTTTCTCCATTAGTATTTTTTAACCATTTAAAACCGTGTCTTCTAGAGGTTTAGTTGAAATGAGATCCTCTATATTTAATAGAATTGTTATTATTTAAAAATCACTGTCTGAGCTAAAAACTCGAACACTACTATTTTAATAATAAAAAATATAGCTCTCATTTCGTAAAATTTTACTGCGTAATATACTTCATATCAGTTTGAAACTCTTAAAATGGCCACTTAGGCCACTTTCAAAATATAAATCTTTATCATTCTATTAACCAGCTAATACCAGCTAATAGTGTACAAAGTTTTAGTGATTCTAAATATATTAATTACAATTTGTTTAAAAATGTAATGTTGAATTTTTTTAGAAAAAGGGTCTTAGGCCACTTTCAAAATAAATACTGAAATATTCGACGCGTTGCTGCAGAAGACTCGATGTATCTAACTTATCAATTTTCTATTCAATTATCAACTCTGTCAATTAACTTACTAATCTTGTGCCTAATTACTATCTATCTAATTCATCAATTCTGTTTATCAGAAAAACGAAAGCTTGTTTATTCGATTGCTATTAAACACGTGTGTTAGAAAACCTCTTTAAACACGTAGTGATTATCAAATAACTATTAGATTAATTATATCCCTTGTACCTACAATCTTGCGAAACTTTCTCGAAATCGGCGAGCCGTACGTTTTTAAGAAACTTCGTTTACCAAATTCGATTAACGATGCAGATGCTGCGTCTTACTTAGAAATATTTAAACGTGGCAACGTGACGGTTGCGTCATCAATCTCGAATATGTTAATCAGTATGTACACGCATGTTGCTGGCTTATGTAATGATAAAGTAAAATTGGTACTCACGATGGTGTGGACGATGCTCTCCCTAGTTCCATCCCACGTTCGTTACAAAGGTGAGAAAAATCTGAAGAAAGGGGGGGATGGGGGGGAGAGAGAAATTGGCGGGAAATACGAAAGGTGGAAGGAAAGCTTCTTCTCCGAGAAAGTCGACAAATGGAACGATTTTGAAAAACGTAACGTATTCTATATTTAACAAACATCTTCTTCACGTATTTACAAATCACACAATGCGCGTGTATTTGCTAACATATTCGTCGTTTGAATTATTTACAGTACATAATTACAAAGTGCGATACGGACGGAGCGATCAGCAGGCCGAATTCCTCCTCTTCAGTTCTTCACGCTGGTACAATTACAATGGACTACGATACACACACGACAGTCGAACGTTTTTTTCTTTTCTTTTCTTTCTTTCGGAAGTTCTTTTCCCTGTTTTGCGCGCTCTCTCGATTTCCTTGGTTTTCCTAGTTTCTCAACGTGCTGGCCAGTCGAATTGTCATCATTTCACGACGTATGAAAAGCTCCTTTTACCTCGTACGGACACCCATCGCATCTTCATTTCTTATCTAGATAGTTGTCAAATATAAAAGAAAAAAAAAAAAAAAGAAGAAGAAGAATCAAGATGTAGTGAAACGAGAAGCCGATAATTCCTCGATTTTGTGCCTTGAAATCTTACATTCGCCACTCTTACGTATATATATATGTGTGTGTGTGTGTGTGTGTGTTTCTTTTGTACACGAGATAAAAGTAGGAACGACTGCTTCGTACTCGGTGATAAGGTACTTTACACGATTAGGAAGCTTTTATTGTCAAACGTCGAATCAAGGGGAACAGACGACATTACTCGACATTCGTTTCAATAAAATTCGTATACTCGAAGTTGTACTCGATGATTTGCAACCTTAAAAATGTGTACAGTTATTCGTCTCAACATTCGTAGACTTCTTATATTGTCACGTTCGTGTCAGAAGCTTTCAAACGAAAGAAAATTGGCAACACTGTGTGTGTTGCTATAGTAAGTCGGTGGATTTCTTCGTTCCTACTTGCGTACCGACAGGATCGTGTTTTAACATAACAAACACAATTGTTAAGTATGTTCCGAGGAGGACAAAAGTTACACTCGACACACGTTACACTTTGCGTTCGTTTCGTTTTTCTTTTTTTTTTTTTTTCTTTTTTCTTTTTTCTCGTTGTTGCCCTGTGTGATTTGCACAGCTATCTCACAAACTCAGAGGATTAACACTCAATGAATTATTGTACTGCTCTCCCTTTCAAGCACGTTCAGCTTGATTACAAATAGCATTACACAGTATGTAATTCGATGCAGCCGCTGACGCTATCACGATTTTGAAATTTACATTCCCAGTAAAAAAAAAAAAAAAGGGTCTGTCAGTCCCAGACGTTTCTCATAGGTATAATTTTTCATTAAAAAAAAAAAAAAAAAAATTTCAATTTCTTCTCGCCGAGCGCGTGCAACTATCCCCCTATATATCTATTGATTTAACCCTGCTCTGATCCTGAATATTTTCTCATTTACATGCAAATTTGCCTTTCGTTCCTTTCGAAAACGAAATATAGAAATCACGCGTATTAACGATTATCGCTAATCTAAAAAAAAAAAAAAAAAAAAAAAGAAAAACGTAGCAGGATTAAACGAAATAAAAGACTGATACCATTTCATCCCCTTTCTAAATATCTTGACTTTCAAATTCACTCTTTTTCAAATATACACTTGTATACTTTGCATGCTACGCCGAATCGAAGCAAAACTGGCAAGGGAGACGTAAATTTCCAATTACAGGTTTCTTATGTACAATTCATAAATAATAAATCGATTGGCTTGGTACAGCGCTATGATCGATGAATCTCATTACGGAACTGTAATTAGTTACAGATCATCGTGCATCCCTCTTACATTACAAACAAACGTTCGTTGATTATACAGCGTACACGATATTGCCTCGCAACGGAATTGCAATTGAATTCATCACGCATGCATCGCGAGCGCACATCATTTTCTTTCTTGTCTTTTTTTTTTTTTTTTTT